GGACTGTGCTGTGTAGTACTTGCATCTCCATATCTTTGCTAGAAAATGTCAACTTGTTTTTCAAAGTTGCTAATGGCAGTTCATACTCATTAGCTGTGAGTAAGAGCTCTGGCTGTTCTGGTGTTACCAGACTTTCCGATTCTCGCCAGGCTGGCTGGGTGTCTTGTGAAGTCAGCCCACAGCTCCCACAGAGAGCCTCTCATTTGTCCCAATTCACAGAGCCTAGTGCCAGACAGTGAAGAAGGCATCATGGGAGGATGCTTTGTGTGATGCTTCACAGGGTCAGAGGACCAAGTCCCACTGAAGCAAAGGATAGGGAGGACACAGAAGGGAGTCTGTTGAACATTTGCTTGCCTTTTAGGCTATGCTTGCTGGTAGCAAAAATTTTAATAATAAAGCATGTCATTAGGATGAATTTTGTTACTTATGTTTGAGTTTTGTCTCAAAATTTATTTGGCACTTGGATTTGGAGCATACCTGCAATGCACTGAGTCCTTGTACACTGCCTGTCCTGCATACATATCACCATTCATGCATCCACTGCTGAGCATATTTGAAAGGAAGTATTACTATTTTAATGAGATTATGAGTCCTTCCTGAATGTTATTTAGGTGTCAGTGACTTTCAGAGGAGTCAGTGTCTGTTGTTAGGCTGCTGTGAACATGGTGTTAAGACCATGTAGGTGTAGGTGATGGAGGTTGCCATTCGTTATTTAGCTTACTCACCAGAACTGGTATGGAGAGATCTGTCTACCTTTCCTGTCCAGAGTATAAAGAAAACCCTGAAAGCTCTAGTAACCTCAAGTACCCTGATGAAATGACTGCTGTGTTGGCAGCTTTGCTTTGCTCTGGTGCAGACTTGGCAGGACATGGCTATTTCTGGTCCCAGCCAAGGAGATGAGGAGTGACACCTCAGCCTCTTCTGGAACTGTCTTGTCTGCAGAGGCCTTAACGGAGAGCACCACGCCTTGTAGGAATCACAGTGACGTCTGATGTTCACTTACTACCCTAGGACAGTGCTGAGCCCTTCCTACACAAATTACCATAGAACTTCGTTACTCCTCTCCATTGGAGAGAAAGGCAATAGACCCAGGTCTCTGCACTCCCTCCTCCAGGCTTTCCAGCTAGAGTGTGGTTAACTCAGGATGAGTTAACCATCATTGAGAGTAACAGTCTTTTACCAAGACTTGACGAGAAAAGGGAGAGCGTGCTATGTGTGACACACAGGGAAAGCTGCCTTTTGAAAGCCATCCTGCTTCTGTTTTGTGATGCAAGGAATGAGAGAGAGAGGCTGGGAGTGAAGGCTGGGATGGAGGAGGTGTAAGACAGGGTGTAGTTCTATTGTCTTCTGTCACAGATTCTGTAATTGTGTATTTTGAAGGGAAATAAAAGACTCTTCTCTAAGAGCAAGGGAGAGGCAGTAAATGTAGAAAAATAGACGAGAAAAGCCGGCATATCAATGTTCAGTGATGCACAGAGCATGGCTGAGCTAGAGGTTAAGTTCAGGGACATTGGCAGCAACCAGCCTTAGGGATTCAACTAGAGCATGCGTGTAAATGAAAGCTGAATTAATGGTGGGGAGGGGGTGGTCCTCCCTCTTTTGAGATGGAGTCTCATTGTGTTACCCAGGGTGGTCTCAAACTCACGAACCTGCTTTAGCCACCTAAATGTTGGGAATTGCAGGTATGTGCCATCATTTTTTTGTTTTGTTTGTTTGTTTGTTTTGTTTTTTAACCCCAAACTTCTTTTCTGAAAACTGGATGGTTTTAATGCCCTCTCCTGCCATTTTGAGACATTATGATGACCTCAGCCATATTCCCAATTAGGAAATAACTCATCTACAGAGATGCTTCTTGTTTGTGGCTACTGTCTAATTCTCTTGGTAAGAAAAATTTGCTTGACTACTTGAATATTTCTTGATCAAGAGAGCTGAAGTTTTGAAGTTTTCTCATTCATTTATGACTTTTATCCTAAAACAATTCTACTAGTATTCTGGAGGTCATCCTTTAGGCTGTTCATGTAGGATTATACTACCCCAGATCACTGAGAATTTAGCTGTGTGTCAAAGACAAACTCCTCCAAAGTTGATTGACTTAGGATCCCAGTGTAATAATGAAGGGAGATGCTATGCAGGTTGGCATAGCATTGGTCAACATATTTTATCACTGATATAGAATTGGCCCTGGCCAAAAAATAAAAATAAAAATTAGGTTGCTTGTTAATCATGGAACCCAAGCAAAACAAATGGCTGGGTGAATTTAGTGACTGGTGTGATGGAGTCCTATCTACTTCTCTACACTATTAGGAAGTAATTCTTCCGTACATCAAATAGTCAAATTGACTATTGATTAGAGTATTAATTCTTTGTGGACAGTTCTGGGGACTCTTGGGAAGGCTGGACATTCAGCAGTCCATTGCAGGCTCCTTATTGGACGGTCTAGAGTGTGGAGTCTGAATTCAAACCTCTACTGTGCTGCAGTGTGTATGGTCCTATGATTGCTCTTCTCAGCGCTCTGTCTCAGTTTCTTTTCCCGTGTATGTGTGTGTGTGTGTGTGTGATACTGTAATATCTATGACTTTGACTTAGAATAAGCTCAAATTAAGTCTTACCTCTTGGTGTTCTTAATGATACAGTTATTAATAATATTAGTCAGGCTTTCTTTTACTGCAAGGAAAAGAAACCAAATTCCAACAAAAGTAGGTGCCTGAACAACAAGCCAAAAAAAAAAAAAAAAGGTTTATTTCATTATACATAAATGGTAGATTCCCATTATTTCCAATAATTACATTATATAAATAAAGTTGCTCTGAACACCACATTAATGACTCATGGAAAGCTTACTTCCAGGCAGATACAGAAGGGGGCACAATGTTTTTATCACCACCAATATGCAATCTTCTTTATGTGTACTAGTTAGTATATGTTAGAACTAACTATATGTCTCTTTCTATACCAATTGAGGAAGGTTCCTTTTTCCTTGCTCTGGGGAATGTGATGTTCGTATTTTAAGTGTAAGCCTCTATCAGTGCTGTCCTGTGTGAATACTCAGGTACAGCTGCTTGTCCACAGTGTCTATGTCGTCATTACACATTCTAAATGTTATTCTGACACTTTTTGTGAGTAGCTTGATGTAAATATTCAAGAATTTTCTCTTTTTTTTTTTTCACTTTTCTTTTTCCTGTTACTGATAGTCACCGAACTTACAAATGACATTTTAATTTATTCATGGAGAAAACTCACCGAGGACACACATTTTCTTCTTGTAACAGCCTTCTTTCACCCAGTATCATTACCAGGCCCCTCAGTTCTAAGCATGACGGCCATTTTGAACAGCAGAATCACTGATCACATATCAAGGCCACACCATCCCCTGTCTACAAGAAGAATTCCCAATAACTTCCGAGCAGTATCTCAACTCTGGGCCTCTTGATTGCACATTGAACACTCTTAACTGCTGAGTCACCTCTAGCCCCAGACACATTTTCTCATATTGGCTAATTCTATAGTAGTTCATCTCTTAATTATGACTAGTTCTGTGTTCAGAGGGCAGATTTATTTTAAATTTTACAAGATATTTTGATACTGACTACAGTGTAGTCATTCCCAGAGTATTTTGTGTTGTATTGTGGGTGCCATGTTTCTTTCGTGGCAGGGTTGACCTGTGGATCTGTGTGGACATTAGTGTCGACTTGGGTGTGGAGCATGGCTCTGCTGCTTCCACCTGTGTGACTGTAGGTATTCTTGACTTCTGTGAGTGATGCTTTATTCAAAGTGGTAGTTATGATGATGACAGGTGGTAATAATAAATTGTGTGTGATTGCAGTGGCTGATGGATGGTGTAGTATTTTGATGCTAATACAATTATTGATAGAAGAGAGAAGACAAAACCACAAAATGTTACAATGAAGAAAGAAATGAGTATGGATTAGCAATTGAGCAACCTGGGGAAGTTCCATTATAAACAAATGATGTGGTTTTATCATTTTCTCTACATGTTTTGTACTTGGTTTTCTCCCCTAATCTTTGCAGTTCATCAAAGAATAATACTTGCTGGGTGGTGGTGGGGACTTTTGTTTTGTTTTTAAAAAGAGCTCGTGGATCTAGTGTCAAGTCAGTCAGCCAAAGTAGATGCCCTGCTATATGGAAGAAGGCTGCATTGATCTACAGTCTCTGTTGAGGGTGTTACAAATCTGATGGAGTTAAGTTTGATGAGTAGAAAGAAGAAACTACCAGTTCAGGTAGAGGTGTACCCATGTCATAGGAAGCAGGCCTAGTGGGATACCATGCTGGGTTGTGCAGAGGGCCTACTTCCAGGTAGACAGTGTGCCTCAAGTATTGGTGATGGATGAGAGGAAAGAGCATACTGTTTCCTCATGCCTCGCCTATTTCAAGTGGCGACATGCTGTTGATGGAGCCCATAGTAGGACTACTCAAAGGGTTGGTTCAAATAAAAACAATTTTTAAAGAAGGCCGAGAGCATGCAGAAAGAAGGAACATTGAGAAAATATGAGGTAAGTTCACCCCCATCTCTGCCTAGTGGTGTGCAGAGTGTCTGGTCCCTGTCATTGGTACAGTGGTGTGCAGAGTGTTTGCTCCCTGTCATTGACATAGTGGTATGCAGAGTATTTGTGCCCTGTCATTGATATGGGAACCATGTTCTTTTTCTGTGTTCATTCAGTGATGTAAGGGAGAGTTATTTAAAATTGCATATTAAGTGCTTACTAAAACACAAAACAACAGCTTTATAATGTGTAGCTACTTTTGGCAACATTAACAAATTTTATTTTAAGATGCAAGATGTGATGATTATTAGAAGATCGCCATTTTTAATTATCACAAAAGTAATGGGTTTTGTTACGTTTTCTTCAACTATTACATCTTTTGCTCACATGGGAGGGTTATTTTAATGGGTTGAATTGTTACTTGATTTCTTCTAACGTTTTCAAAACTTGTTTTTTAAATAATTTTTTTCTATCCCCCCTTCCCCCCCTTTTTTTTTTAAAACAAAACTATCTTCTAGGCTATATGACTCCCTGAAGGATAAGAACAATGCTATGTTGGGGGTATTGGTCTCTGGGCCAACCAGGCATCAGCTCCAACCTACGAGGAATTGTGGCTGAGCCCCAGGTGTGCCGCTTTGTATCAGACAGAAGCATCAAGGAAGTGGCGTGTGGAGGAAACCACTCAGTGTTCCTGCTGGAAGATGGAGAGGTATACACCTGTGGTGTAAACTCCAAGGGGCAGCTTGGCCATGAGAGGGAAGGCAACAAGCCAGGTGAGTGCCAGTCCTGCACTGATTGTCAGGCCCTTGCTAAGGCAAATCGTAGTGGGTCATTCCTTACCAAGCCCTTTTCTTCGGGGAAGCTCTGGCTCCTTCATGTAGTGCAGTATTCCCCACTGAACTGTGTCCAATTTAAGCTATGTAATGGAAAAATTGAGTTTCTTCTTTTAAACTTATTATACAACAGGCAAATCAGGATTGAGAGGTGATTTTCCCTAGTAATGGAAGGTGAAGACATGACAGTTTTAAACAGGGAGTCCTCGTGTGATCAGTACCAGTTTTCCTTCCTGGTTACCTCTCATTCTTTCCTTTCTCCAACAAATTTTTGTAAAGCATTTGGTGCTGAGCGCTGTGTGGGACTTTGCCTGCTGAGATGAGTGAGGGATGCAGTGATGAGGTAAGCCTGTGATCCTTGTGGCAAGTGTTTGGGTGCAGGCTTGTGACAGATAGACTGGGTGGAATGGAGAGGTGAGGTGGTCAGAGCAGGAAGGATGAGTGGATGTTTGGTCCATGAGAATCTGTGTGTGTGTGTGTGTGTGTGTGTTCTAGTGCGTGTGTGTGCCTGTGTGTCACAGAGTACTGAGTGTACTGAGTAGACAGGTTTGTGTGTGTGTATTACTAAGACAGAGTCTACGTCGGGGTGTGGGTGGACAGGTACACCAGTGCTGTGCTGAGACTCATAATAAGTGGGGTAGGAAAGACTAAGCTGAAAAGGCGGAAGCTCGTCCGTCAGTGTCCTTATGTTAGTGGTGCATGTTTACTTCTGACAACCAGTGTGCATTCTCAAGCCTTTTTAATCTCACTTTCTCATATAGAACCGAGAGTTAACACGCAGATCACATGTAGTGTAAACTTGTGGCCTTAGAGTGTTAGTGCCAAGGTGAGCCCCCATAACTGTGCTCACAGTTCATAATCTCGTGCACTTGTGAGCTGGTTTCTTTGCTTCTTGCTGTCCCTTTCACTCAGCCCAGTTCAAGTCTAGATACAGAAGCTTCACTATAGAGCAGCAGTGGGGGCTGGAGAGATGGTGCAGTGGTTAGCACCCATGACGGTTGGCTCAGAACCCCCTGTAACTCCAGCTCTAGGGGTCCAGGCAGAAACATGGCACATTCTCACACAGACAAACATAAATTCACTCAATTTATTAAAAGCAGAAGAGACCAGGGTTGGTGCCCCGTGGCCCCAGCATCTGTGGGCCTGGAGGATCAGGAGTGCCCATCTGTATTCCTTAAGAAATTGCTTAGGTGACCTGATTATGTTGTTCCCTCCTTATGTACTTTATCCGGTGGCATGCGGCTATGCCCTGATGTTTCTCTGCCCAAATGTCAGTCTTAATTTGTAATGTGAACATTTGAAAACAATAGACTACAGACCGGAATTAGAGAAAATTATGAGTTTTGTGGAGTTTGACGGTGAAGGCTTGTAATCTTAGGTAGAGGCAAGAGGACCCAGACTGCAGCTCGGCTCTCAGGCATGGTGAAGGTCAGTCTGCCCCACGTTATGAAGTGTGTGAGTGTGCTCAGTGGCCTTCCACTAGTTCTTTGTCTACCCTGAATTCCCACTTGGAAAGTGCCCATTGTGTGTGTGTTTATGTGCATGTAATTGCAGCTTTCCTAACATGCTGCCCTGATTTTGGGATTTCGGGGAATGGGTTTGTACTTACCTATCCACCAATGTCCTTTTATACAATGCATCTAATATGAAAAGTGTTCAAATGTTTGATTGTTCTATGCAGTGCATTATAATCAGTGAAAAGTGTCGATAATTAATGAGTAAATTGTATTTACTATATTTTACCAATTAGTATATATAACTACCTGGAAAGCGGTGGGAGATTTTTGATTTTTACTGATGGGCTTCTTGGTGGAAAACATTAAAAATGGAGATCTCTTCCTATTTTCTCTTACAATTCAGAGTCTCACATTAAGCTCAGATGAAGGGCACAGTGAATGCCTACAGAGGTGCCCCCACACACCGTTTCTTCTCCTCCAACAAATACACACAAATATTAAAAAATAAATCACTGAAGTAAGGAGAGTCCAAGGTACCCAACTCCTGCCTGAAATGTGAACATTCCCTCAGAAGGGCAGGATCTGTGCTGCAACACAGTTCACAGTATTCTGGGAACTGGACAATCATTCCACTATTAAAGATAGCAAAGCCAGGTCACCCAGTACAGGTGTTGCTTAACCCCGTCTGACCCTCACGTCTATTCTGGAGGTGGGTCTGTGCTGTGGGTAATGCGGTATCCTACCTCAAGCATCAGGAGTCATGCATGTTCTTTGCAGTTCTCTCTAGCAAATAAAAAACTCTGACCTGTCTCTAGAATTGTAAGATGAGCTGACAGTTTGAGAACTGGCTTGCTCTTTTTACTATCAAGAAATAAGTATAGCCCTAGACAGGATTCCTTCTGTGCTTCAGTTCCCTTTTCTGTTAAAGGAGGACACTTCTTATTCTGGTAGGTCTTTTGGGGGGAAGGGGTTGGGGCTTACTGTTTTTCTTTTTGACACATCCTCCAGCTAGATATAAACTTCCTGTGAAACCAAAGATGACTTTGGACAACTGAGCACTGGTCTCTGCCTCCCAAGTGTTGGGATTACATCTTTGTGCCACCCTCGTCATTTTTCATGGTTCTGTCTCTGGCAGGTATCTTCAATGTAGAGGTAGGGGTCCACATGCCTCTCATTGCGCATATCTTTGCCTTAAACCCTGGAGTGGAGCTAGTGGCAACCAGCTGGGCCTGTGCAAGTTAGTGGACAGGATGAAGCAGCCCTCTGTCTGCTTGTACTTGAGTTAGGCACCTGCCACAGCCAGGTCTTGGGTGATTGCAGAAAAACAGAGAGGAACACCAAAAAGGTCTTCACACTCGGCCAGTGGTTCTGGTCCTACCTGTGATCTAACTTCATGGTAAGTCATACTCCTTTGTAAATTAAAAGAGATTCCAGAAATTTCTGTTCCAAGTTAAGCTAGTATGTTAATTACAAACTCCACAGCAACTGTGGAATAGTGCCTCTGAATGGAGAGATGTGTGGGTGGATGCCTCCCCCTCTTGCTTTAACTTTTTCATGGCATTCTAAATCTGGGTCCTATGGGATTTATTTTTAATGAGTGAAAGAAAGAGATTGGGTTTGTTTGCTCTCTGTGCTTGTTGGGAATTTTTTTTTTTTTTCAACAGGGTTTCTCTATGTAGCTTTTGGAGCCTATCCTGACACTAGTTCTGTAGACCAGGCTGGCCTCGAACTCACAGAGATCCCCCTGCCT